ATATATTAATCAATTTATTGGTTGAAATCAGGCAGTGAAAATGAGTTTTTAGGAATAAATCGTGTGATTGTTCCATTCATTACATGTGGTGATCTAAGGTAACAACAGATTGATTAATAAATGATAAAAAGTTTTAAATAAAAATAAAATAAAAATAATTTAATAATTACTTTTGTTTATATAGTGGGTTTGATTCTGATATGACCTATTCACTTGAGGTAAGGAAATTTTTGATTAGTTTATTATTAAAATTTATTTCTATTATAAAATGGTTTTTTTTTCTATTTGTTTTTAGAAAAAAAGTTTGGATCCTTTACAACCTCCAATAAGTGCACCATATGACAAAGCAATCACTTTGAAACAACAAAATTTTTATAATAAAGTTCCATAAATTATCAAAAAAATTTTAATTCATCTTATTTCTAAAATCAAAACCAAATTTCTTATTTTATTATTTCATGGAAATGAAAGATAAGGATCAGAATTATATTAATATATAATTGGAAGTTAAAATAAAATCTTTTTGAACATGACTACTCTTTACAATGTTTCTCTATATATCAGCTTCTATAGGTGCTGTTGACTCTCTTTTGTCATCTTGATCTATAGTACTACTATATATAGTCACAAAAGATCTGAGATCACTCCCCTCAATACATCAGCTAATATGTGGCATGCCCCAACCTTTTGGCTCAAAACTTTTATATCAAAAAAATTGAACCGTATGTTAGTCGCGGGACATCGCGTAACTACAGGGGACCAAATGTAACCCACTAATAAAAATTTTTCGATTGACATGGAATTATATGAAAAAATGAAGAAAAAAATCACAAACTTGCCTGATTTAATCAATTGTTACTTGAATCACAAATATATAAAAAAATCATTACTTTGATGTATTTTAAACAAATAACACTTTAATATTAAGAAAATCTTGACATGAAGTTGGACATTTGTTATATATAATGAAATTCACATCTCAACTTTTGAAATAATAAATTTAGATGCAATAGTTAATATTCATTTCAG